TCATATAATTGAGGAAAGGAATTCCTAAGTCTTCTGATGATTTAAACTACACAATATATGCAACCTCTTTTTTTGTTGATTTACATGTACATACACAGGCCCTGATCCAGAAAAGAGCTACTACACCTGGGTTGATGAAGTTTAAACCTCCTTCTCCTGCTGCTTTTTTTCCTGAGCAGTCCTGATCTCAATGGCAGCAATTTAGCCACAATTTTTGACCTTTATGTCTCCCTCCCAACATCCCCAAGACTCCCAAGGCTTCCTGAGGGCAAAGGAAGCCCTTGGAAGCCTTGGAAGCTGAAACAGGGGGCTTTAAATCAATTTAAATTAATTACTTCTAGCACCCCGATCTGATTTAAACTTGAGCAAAATTACTCAATAGACTTTTGTCCATTGTATTACATATTCTTCTATTCCACTAAAGTGCTAAAACATCTGTTGAGGTCCATTCCTAAGACCTTCAGATCGCGCTTGCAGATACACTTGTATCGCAACTGTGGTCCCCCTCTGGGGCGCTTTCCTACACTAATTCTCCATACAGGAGATCTTTTGGAATCTGACCGTCAGCCTTTCTTATGATATGCCCAAGCCAATGTAGACGTCACTGTTTCAATAATGCATACATGCTAAAAATTCCAACTCATTCTAGGACTACTTTATTTGGAACTTTCTCCTGCCAGGCAATACTAAAAATGTGTTGGAGACAATGCATATCGAACGGGTTCAGCTTCCTCTCCTGCCGTGCACAAAGGGTCCAGGACTCACTGCAGTACAGGGGTGTACTCAGGACACAGGATCTTGGTATATGCCGTCAGCTTCTTATTAAACCATACTCTCTTTTTGAGTCTAGAGAACATGGTAGCTGTTTTGCCAATGCGTTTATCCAACATCTAGAGTGCTCTTTAATGTCTGAAAATCACCACTGCTGGCCCAATCAAATTCACTTGAATTTGCTTCTGAGCAAACAGTGTAGGATTGTGCTATGAACCATTTCTTTATATTCTAAATTATGAACATTGTTCTTTTTAAAAAATCTGAGATGACTACAGCAGCGGCAGCAACTATATGTGCTATGAAGTCAATTCTGACTTATAGTGACCATGGAGTTTTCTAGGTAGAAAGTATTCAGAGATGGTTTAAGATTCCCTTCTTTTGGGAGTGCTCCATGATCAAGTAGCTTGCCCAAGACCACAGAGGCTGGTTCTTCCAGGAAACACACTGGGGAACCAAACTCCCAATACATGGCTCTCTAGATATGTGGTCCAACTCAATGAGCTGCCTAGCCAGTTTATCTACCAACACTATTGTAATTTACATGGTTATTTATCCCTAGAGATTTAGACAAAAATGAGGGGGAAAGCCCCTAATTATGCACAGGTTGTGTTTCTAACGACTGCATGCTCAGGTTTGCTCCTTGCCCAGGTAAACTGATTTTAATTTGAAGTGGCATAGAAATATAGTTTTCTATTACCCTTCATAGGTTTTAAAAAAGAAAAACTCCCCTGAGCCTAAGACAGATCAGGGCTGCAAAAATGATCTGGGATGACTTACTGAGCCCCCTTCCTATTAGGAAAAAGGAAAAAAAACAGAAGCAAGAAAACAAGGGAGAGAAAATTTTGTAGATTGAATGAATTGCTCAGCTGAAACATATGTTCAGAAATGAAGATCAGTCACTGCATCGTTGCCTCAGTATACATTCCTACCTGTATTCTGGTGCTTGCACACTTACCACTGATTTATTCAATCTGCAGTCTCCATCTTGAGTTTAATTGTCTCACATTTGGCCTTCTTTGTGGGCTTTCTATTCCCTCATTCCTTACTTTTTTCTTACCACCTAGCCTAAAAAAGAGTTCTGGAGAACTTGAAAGCTTGCATACTTAAGAAGTATGAACTTAGCCTCAGTTCTCACCCCACCCCATGGATAAGGGTGGCTATCTTTATTCCCCTTTTGTCTTAAAAAATAATCATTCCTGAGCACATCACAATTATTCAGCAAACATCTGAGGACCCAGGGACACTGCACAGCGTTCTGTACAATGTCAAAGCCAAGATATTAAAAATCAATCCATTGCTTCCTTCCAGTGGGCCAAGAGGAATGAAACGAGGCAACGTAAGGAAAGTGAACTCCTTCACAATCAGCTCTTTCTACAACATGAGGTCATACCCACACAGGAGGGGCCTCTGGACGAAGGGATGTTTTCTTTTTCGGTGTGTGTGTGTGTGTGTGTTGAAATGGCAGGGAGAGAGAAGCAGAGGAAGGAAGAGGACCGAAGGGAGGGAGTCCTCGTGAATATACTGTACAGACTTTCCCTGTGTGAACAAGTTAGCCCGTGCCGATCACTCCTGGCCAAGTATTAATCACGTAATGAGGAAACAGAAGCACAAATATGACTGACTGTGTGTGGTTTTTCTTCAGAGCGAAGGCGGGCGGGCGGGAGAGCTTCTTAGCTTTTAACACGAAAAGGAAAGGCTCCCAGCCGCGGTGTTTGCCTCACCCTTCTACCGACGGCAGCAGCAGTTTGG